TGTGTGTGTGGTAGAAGTATCAGTTTTTGTACTCTGTATCGGCAAGTACTCAGATCCAAGTATCGGTTTGAAAAAATTGGTATCGTTGCATCCCTAATCCCAACCTTGTGATAAGAGTGGCAGTGAGACTGCACGGGGCACTGGCTGCACAGGGGCCCTTTAGGGGTGCAGACTCGTGCTCCCAGCTCCATCATGGCCTGGTTAAAGTCTCCAGGTCTCTCAGGATCCACCAGCAAATTGGCCAGATCCCTTAAACACAAGAGAAATAAAAACATTCAAAAGATTTCCGTTTATATATTATTTTGGTTTGGAGGTGAATCTCACCAAAGTGCCGCTGTCACTGCTGGACTTGTGCTGTCAGCTCCAATCGCCCTCAGGCGACACAGCACCCGAATGACATTACCGTCCACAGCTCCGGTAACCTAGACAAGAGAGATCACATCACTATGAGTGATTAATAAGAGAGTACCTAAGAATTTGCTCTGCTGCAGATATCCACGTCTAATGACCCACCAGCCCCTGTGCAATAGAGCCTATAGCTGCAGCAGTGTAGCGTCCCACTCCAGGCAGCTGTTTGAGCAGGCTCTCAACCGTCTGAGGCATCTGTCCCTTTAGCTCTGACACCACCTAAAGAAACATATAACGAACACCCAAACACAGAAGGTGTGAGACGTCTCTGACTGTTTAGAAGTGTTAGATAAAGGGAAGAACACGATCACACCTTCTGTGCTCCTTCATGCAGCCTTCTTCCACGGGAGTAGTAGCCCAGGCCTGCCCACATCTGATTCACCTCCTACCAATCAACACAATCAGTACATTCAAATTAAAAACATCAGCATTTTAAAATCATTCTATGTGCATTTGCTGCTTTAAGGCATCACCTCTAAAGTGGCAGCTGCAAGTTCCTGGACTGTGGGCCACCTCTGCAGCATAATAAATAGAAGCTTTAGTTTCGCACACAATGAAATCAGTGTCACAAGAAGTGCACAAGAAAGCTACACGATGCACACCTTCATCCACTTGTTGTAATAGTCTTTTACTGTGGCAACCTGAGTCTGCTGCAGCATTATTTCTGAAACCCATACTGGAAAAAAGCACATCACTTTAAGCAGCAGTTAAAGATGTGTACATTTGTCAAGAATCCACCCAACTCTTCTCACCTCCATATGTCCTGATGTTGATGTCTGACTCTGTCGTAGCCTGTAGAAAGTAAAGAAAGACAAAGCTACAAATTTCCTCTGAGAAAAAGACTAAAAATACGACAGAAACCACCAGAACACTGACATGGCTGAACCGTTAACTTTGAACCAAACTTATTTCTATATCACATGTTACATTAATGTATATTAATGATGACAACGAAGTAGTTTAATATAGTTTCTTTTTACCAGAGTCCTCCATGGCAGCTCTCTCTTCTCCTTGTTGTACCAGTTAAGGAGTTGAGAGCGAAAGCGGACGACATCAGCAGGATCAGGGAAAGTGTGGTACGGAGATGGTGAGGAAGCATCTGTGGTTTCCTCTGGAAGACCAAAAACACAATTCTCACTCAGACTAAAGAAACTGAAATCATATCTGTCTATTGT